TGTCAAAAGCCTTGCTGAAGTCAAGATAGACGACATCCACTGCTCTCCCCTCACCTACCCAGCCAGTCATTCCATCATAGAGGCCTACCAGGTAGTCAAGCATGATTTCCCCTGCTGACTACTCCTGAGCACCTTCTTGTTCTCCACATGCCTAGAGACAACAGCCAGGATGAGCTGCTCCATGGCTTTTCCAGGGATAGAGGTGAGGCTGCCTGGCCTGTAGTTGCCTGGGTCCTCCTTCTTGCCATTTTTGAAGACTGGTGTGACATTGGCTTTCTTCCAGTCCTCCGGCACCTCCCCGGTTCTCCAGGACCTTTTGAACATGATGGAGAGTGGCTTAGCAGTAACATCCGCCAGCTCACGCAGCATTCATAGGTCCATCCCATTGGGGCCCATGGATTTGTGGGTGTCAAGTTACCCTAAGAGCTCTCTGACCCAATCTTCCTCTACCCAGGGGAAGTCTTCCTCTCTCCAGGCATCTTCTCTTGTCTCTATGCGCCATGTAAAATGACACATACCCCAGCCTGCCAGCATGTGTTGTCCCACTCATCACAGTCATGAGGGATCCTCCTCACTCAGAGACTGTGATGGGGCTGGCAGACCTGAGAGCATTGCGAAACTCCACGTTTCATACATAGTCCCAGCTGCATCGCAGTTCCCTGCTGGGACAAGCTCTGGGCTCTACCCTTCCTTTTCATGTTCTACCCCACCACAGAGTAAAATCTGGGCTCACAGGCTGGGTGCGGAGTGCAGGATCCTCCCTGTCCTTGTCACACACTGTGGCCATTGACTACCAGGTATACTTAGACCAATCATTGTCTGGCCTTCCCTTGTCCTTGTGCTCGTTTGGAAAGGGCCTTTCCTGGTGGCAGAGCTGGGGTTACCAAAGGCCTGGCACAGAGATCAGATACCTGAGAAGCGAGGCAAAAGTAGCATTTCTGAGACAGCCTGTTGCCTGTTGCTCAGCAATCCACCTGAGATAAGCCAATAAAAACACCGTGAGCTTAGGAAAGGGATCCTAGAGCTCCCTCCCAACTGGGAAGCCATTACCTGTCCTTATGATGCAGGATGCAATTAAGATATTATCACATACCCTCTGAAACGGAATATTCGTTAAGGAAGAATCAGGAGAAACAAACTTGGCAGACATTCAGCCCAGGCTCGGAGGCAGGAGCTGCATGTGTGTGTGGCAGCTCCTCGGCACTGAGCTGGCTGCTGCCCTGCCACGTGTGTGTCCTGGAGGGAGTTAGGGGTGACCAGTGCCACCATGTCCTGCACGAGGACAGGTCCCTTTCAGTGCCCCAGCTGCTGTGCTGGGAGCTGGGGATTTCCACACTGTGGAAGGACACAAGCACTTTCTCATGCCCTCCTAGTGAAGCAAGGGAATCCAAAGGTTCGTTGGTGGGTGGCAATGCAGGCTGTCTGATATCGGGTGGTGGCTGTCTGATTTCCAGGCTATTTCCTTATCAGCAGCACATGACAGCATGAAGGGCTCTGTCCTGGAAAGAGAGACCAGTGTGGAATTTGAACCTTGTTCAGCCGACATGGGACTGGCCCTGCTTCATCTGAACTGCAGACATGTATGTCCTGGGAGAGAGTCTCCCGGAGATTGCTCAGACCCTTTGCTGCTTGAGTTTCAATGGCCAGGATGGGACTTAGCACTGTCCCTGCCGGGCCACTTCCAGCTGCAGGGAAAGGTGCCCTGAGAAGGTCCCACTGTGTGGGCACAAGTGGCAGAGGCCCTGCTCTCCAGGGCACTTTTCCACCCTCACATCTTTGTGTTCAACTCAGCTGAGACAAAGCAGCTGGAAACTGTATTTCTCCCCCTGAGTTCAACCTTATGATAACCCAACAGTCTCTATATGTGAGCAGAATTGGTAAAAAACAGCTGTGCTCCTGGAGGGAGCAGGTTCCCGACATCCAAGTCCTTACCAGCTCCAAGCTGGAAGAACGGTGCAGGGTGACATGGACTGGCGCAGCTGCCAGTGTGACAGTCGTGACAGTCTGCGGCCAGGAGCAGCTCAGAGACGAGCTCTGGCTGCTGCCAGGAGATGGAGGCACTGGGAGCTGCCTCTGCCCAGGGGCCCCGGCACCCTCCTTGCACGGCCATCCCTCCTTTTCCAGCAGCATCCTGTTTCTCGTTGGTATCAGACTTGCTCTCAAGACACCGGCTGCTCTGCGGCTGATTTCAGGGCCAATGGTGCTCTTTAAAAGGTGGCAGATTTGTAATGGAAATATTAAGTGTGGCAAGAGTGAAAAAAGACAGAATTGTCTGTCTGTGTGTGAAAGCACCAGAAAAAAATAAAACCAAAATTTAACGCAGGAAGCAAGGATTCAAAGGAAAGATGTGTACTAATTGCTGCAGACCGAGAGGAAAAGACAACTTTCATCTGAAGAAGAGACACAAACTGAACTAAGATACAGCAGCAGCATAAAAACTTATGAGTTCATAAGTGTCCAGGTGAGGTAACCTAGAGAAGTGCAAAATTCTAGAATGTTGCCCAAGTTAAAAATCCCGTTGCTGTGTTTCTGTTGGCAGTCAGGTATCGGCGAGGGAGCGAGAGGACGAGGAGGACCAGTGAGCTGGTTTGTCCCATCTTCGCTGTTGCCCGCAAGCGATCCTGGCTTCACCCCTGGTTACTCGTGTCTGTGTGCTGGGGATTGCGCAGGCCTGAGAGCGTGAGCAGGTGAGAGGAGGACATTGACCTCCTGTAACAGAGACTAAGCTACCTCCTGCACAGTATCTTCCATGGAGTTTGGCTGCCATGTCCCAGAAGGGGTCCTGTTGCATCCAGGCTTTCTTTTGCTCTTCCTTAACGGAGCCTTCTAGCTGGCAGCAAGCAGAGCTTGAGGGATGCTGTATTCTCAGCAGAGCTGGCTCAGGCTTTTGGGTGAGCAGCCTCTGCTTCCCTGCGGTGCCCCTCTTTTATCCTAAGCCAGCTCTTCTCAAAGGAGGAGCTGAATATCCAGCAGCACCTGCGAGATCCTCACAGTTCCCTCAAGGAGAGGGCCAACCTGGAGGCCGCTTTGGGGAAGGGTCTCCTTGCAGCTTTAACTCATCAACACTCTTCCCAGTGCATCACATCCAAACATTTTCTCTCTTTCTGTGTTGTCGTTTGCAGGCTCCTTTATCAGGATGGTTGTTAAAAAGAGCCACCTGACCTGTGCTGTTCTGTGGGCACTGGCTATGGAGTCACTCATTGCTCTTGTGTTCATGTCGATGAACATAGGAGGAGCACCCATGTACAAGGTGAGCACCGCTGCAGAGAGCAGACATGTGGCACAGACGCTCTGAGACAAGATCCCATGTTATGGCTTTGGAGTAAGTGGGCCTCAGTAGGACGTGCCTTGCAGGCCATAGGCATGGGTCTTCTCTAGCCATGCCAAAATGCAGACAGGAGAAAGAAGGCAGAGGCACTGAAAGAGTCTGGCTGGAGATGGCATCAGCAAGTGCAAGGCTGAATGAGACCTCTGGCTAGCTCGTTCTCTTCCTGTCAGAATCAAGGCCAGGCTTTGAATGGCCCTGTCCTGTCACTGCTCTGCTTGGCCATGCTGTAGCCTGCCATAGCTTAGGGAGGATCTATTCATTAAGAGCATTAAGGGCTGCTCTTTGGGCACCCTCCTGAAGGCATCTCAGCTTGGACAAAGTGAATGATGTCAGAGAAGAAATTCTTGGAATAGCCTAAAGAGCAATCTCCCTGCAAGAAAGCAAGGATGAGGGTGTTGCAGCTAAAAGATAAGGGCACACCTCCATGCCATGTGGACACGGAGAAGAAAGCCCCATGCCACCTAACACTGACAAGGACGGCAAAAGCCAAACACAGCCCTCCCCCCCGCTAAGAAAAAAAAAACAAAAAACACCCACCACTGCCATAAACTGGGAGGAGAATTAGGCTTGCAGCTAGTACTTAGGGCTGACATGCTCCTTTTCCTGTCCTGTCTCCTCTTGGCAGGACTCCTCCAAAGAAGACACATGGGTCCCTGCGGAAACGGCCAACACTGCTGGAGCTGTGGATCTCCTGAGTTTGATGCCAAACAGTTCACTTTGGCCATCCAATGAAGTCTCTAAGCTCACATTTAACTGGTACAAGGACAACCTTTACACCCAGAGACACCTCTGCTATGGACAGAATGAGGTGCTGAAGCGCCTGGCAAAGACTTTAATTGAGGGGAGAAATTGAGAAAATTGAGGGAAACTGGCTGCTAATCAGATTCTACCCTCATGCTAGCAACCACAGCAAAGATTAGAAGGTGAAACGGGAACAGCTACCTCAGGGGAGGGTAGAGACAGGGCATGCACTTTCCGCACATCTGGCTGGGTGCTAGTAGGGGAGTGGGGTTAGAGGTAGAAGGACAAGGGGTGCTGTGCAACCTCATCATTCCACACCAACTGCTCAGTATCAAATGCTGCAATCTGTGAAAGCATGAGAAAGCCAACTGCTTCCTTGTCTTTTCTCCATAGTGATGATTTCACTGAATATGTGTCTTGAATTTTGGATCCTTCTTAGGGAAAGGAACAGTTCAGCTGCAGATCAAATCATGGCTGGAATTGCTAAGACCATGAAAGAGTATCCTGTGGATTTCCACGGGGCTCGAATCATCACAGGCCAAGAGGAAGGAGCTTATGGCTGGATGGCCATCAACTATCTAACAGATTCCTTCTCTAAGGTGAGAGAAGGCTGCAACAGCCACCTCTTCTTTGCGACAGGCGCTTTTCCCTTTTTGTCTCTTTGTTTCTTTTTGATCTTTCTTAGCTTTTTAAACTCACTTAGCGCAGAAGGAAAGGTCTGGGTCATTGCCCCTTAAGAATGATGTCAGAGAAGGAATTCTTGGAATAGCCTACGGTGCAAGGGGAGGGAGAAAGCAGGGATGGGGGTGTTGCAGCTAAAAGATAAGGGCACATCTCCATGCCATGTGGACATGGGGAGGAAAACCCCATGCTGCCTGAGCACATCTGGAAAAGCCAAGCCCAGCTCTTGCCCTCAAGGACATCCCTTGTGCTTTATTCTCTGGCTGTGATCCAATCCAGTTGTGCACTGGGAGCCAGCCTACTCCTTACTCTCTCCGAAAAAAAAACACAACTACCTTAAATAGGAGGATAATTTGGCTTGCATCCATTTCTTATGGCTTTATGCTCCTTAGTCTTATGCTCCTCTTCCTGTCCTATTTTGTCTTGGCAGCACTCCTCCAAAGAAGGAGTCCCTCCAGGAATGGTCAACACTTTTGGAGCTCTGGATCTTGGAGGAGAATCAACTCAAATAAGTTTTATCCCAAAGAGTTCATTTATGAAATGGAATGAAGTTTCCAAAGTCACTCTTTATGGGTATAACTACAATATTTACACCCAGAGCTACCTCTGCTATGGACAGAACGAGGTGCTGAAGCGCCTGGCAAAGACTTTAATTGAGGTGAGAGGGAAATGGGCTGCTAATCAGATTCTACCCTCATGCTAGCAACCACAGCAAAGATTAGAAGGTGAAACGGGAACAGCTACCTCAGGGGAGGGTAGAGAGAAGACAGAGGCAGGCTCTTTCCAAAAGTGCAAAGTGTCAGAGCAAGAGACACCTGGCACCCGATGGAAAGTGAGACATTCTGGCCAGACATAGGGAAAACCCTTCCACAAGAATGCTGCTTAAATAGCAGAATAGAGCCTTAAAAGCCTGTGGAGTCTCCATCCTTGGAGATATTCCAAAGTGAACCGGCCAACACCTTGCTTAACCCGGTCATCCTTTCAGCTGAGGGGTGACACAGAGAAAGCGAGAGGAGCCCATAGGTTCCTTCAAACCTCCACTCTTCCCTACTTTTTTTCTTGTTGCCAGGAGTCACCTTCCAGAACACAAGTAGGACATCCTTGCTACCCGAAAGACTACAGAGAAACCATCTGGCTGTCTTCCTTGTACTCCACTCCCTGCATAATGCAGAATGACTTCCATGCAGCAATTGCTGACAGAAGAGTGACCCTGGAGGGCAAAGGAAATGCAAAACGGTGCCGGGCTGTCATCCGGAAGCTGTTGAATGTCTCGACATGTGGCCAGAGCCAGGACTGCAACTTCAACGGTGTCTACCAGCCTCCTGTCAGCGGCCACTTCTTTGTAAGGAAAATGCGCACCCTTCCCTTCCCTCGCTCTCTTTAGAAGCCACTGTTCTGCTCAGGGGCACCTTTGGGGTCCCATTAAGAGGCCTCTTGCCAGCCCTTTGCAGAGCTGTGCACAAGGGGCAAAAGAAGAGCTGCTTGTAGCAGTGTGCAGGGTGAGAGCTCTCCTTGCGGACAGCCCTTGCTGACTCAAGGGAGACCAGAGTAGCTGCCCCGCGGCACTCTCCCCACTCTTAGTCAACATGATTTCTCCTTCCTGCCTTTCAGGCCTTCTCAGGATTTTACTATAACTTCAGATTCCTCAACCTGACCAATGGGCAGTCTCTGCTCACTGTCAGCAAGAGCATCCGGAATTTCTGCACAAGGAGCTGGCAAGATGTATGTTTCCCACAATGGCTCATGGGGGGCTCTGGGGAAACTTCCCAAGGGAATGAGTCCTGGGGCAGGGGACAGACATCCCAGAGCAAAGCTCCCTACTTTCTGAGCCAAGCCTAACACAGCAGAGCCATCCCTGAGCCCTGTGAGGGAACCACAGCCATTTGCGCCAGCTCCTCCTTTTCTGTGTGCATGAGCAGAAGGAGAGCATGCACAGATAGAAAGCAGCAGCCAGAGCTGATGAAGCCATCAGTTGCTCTCTTGTTCAGGGAGCTGGAGCTGGGAAAGGAGCCCTGTAGAAGGCTTGCTGGGATCGCTCTGGAGGGTGTCAGATGGTGGTGGACACAGTCAAGAGATAGAGTAGGACAATCATGAGGCAGAGACCTTTGTGCAAGGAGGCTCACACGGGACAAGAGGGAGGCATGGGGAGCTCCAAAATGTCTCTGTTTCCAAAGAAATGCGTAGTAGTAAATGCTCCTGGGCAGAGCTGCCCTCACGGCTCCAAAATATCTGTCCAGTCCACAAGTAATTGTTTTTCTCTGCATGAAGGGCCTTACAGAGCCATCCCTCTTCATGCAGTCAGCAGTCACCAGGGCATTGCACCTGCATTGCCTGCTGCCATCTCATTGCTAGGAGCTCAAATAATTTCCCTTCCTTCTCACATCTGCCCCCAGCTGTCTTCTAGCTACCCTGAAGAAAAGCCTGAGCGACTACGTAGCTATTGCACTAATGCAAACTACATCCTCACGCTCCTCCTGGATGCCTACAAGTTTAATGAGACCAGCTGGAACAACATCATCTTCCAGAGGAAGGTAAGCAGCAACCTCAGCCCAGCATGGCAATGCCCTCGCAGGCAGGTGTCCAGCAGCACCGTGCCCAGCTAACACGCAGCTGTGCAGCTCAGCCCTGTGGCCAAGGCTCGTGGAGACCTCCTGCTTGGGGACACGCGCTGTGCCTGTGCCAGGCCTGGCACGCAGAGCCCCAGTGCTGCTAGGGGCATCTCTGTGCTAGAGCTGCCCTCACGATGCCCCTCTCTCCTTTGGCAGGCCGGGAGCACGGATGTCACCTGGAGCCTGGGCTACGCGCTGGAGCTCGCCAACACCATCCCACGGGAGCTGCTGCACTTGGTGCAGAGGCAAAACCCCTTCCTACATGCTGCAGCCGTGGTCTTCATTGTGTCTGCCCTTAGCATGGGGCTTGTTCTTGCGCTCAAGCGCTGGCACAGGTAGAAACTTGGCTGCATCTCAGAGATAGTAGGAAGGCGTCAAGGCTGGAGGGCTGAATCACACACTGGCCAGCAGGACAGAGAGCCCATCTCTTCATCTTGGGCCCATGATGTGGAGCATATCAACCTTTACAGGACTCAAAAAGCGAAGGCTGGACTCTTTTTGAACTGTGCCCAAAATGGAGCTTGGCACCACGGGGCATTTTCCAAGGAGCCTCCCTCCCCT